TCGTCGGTCAGCTTTATCGACATTTTTCTTGGCCAATTTCGGACGACTTTGTAGCAAAACAGTATCGGTACTTGTTAAGTATTTTTAGTAAACTAGCACGCTGTTTTTCATTCAAATCAGAACAAATTTGTAAATTACATTATATGGTAAGAAAACAATTTTTGGAAGGTATATCCACTTCAAGGGCGTTATCCTGATGTGTCGTAATCAGGAACAACAAATGCCTCCACAGAATCAGAAGCAAGATCAACTTTTAAATTTATTCTTGTCTTAGATGTAACAATGACAGAACTTCTTGCGTAGCCACACAAACGTAATTGAGTAGGACTAGTAGGAGTGCACTTAAGTTTTAGTTTACCGGTATCTGACTGCCGCAGAACCTGAATCTACAAATCCCCTCAAAGATTCTTCGTTAATGTTGCAGTCAATAAAATAACAAGTGTCAGAAGGATTATTTGTGTCCGAAATAGCAGAAGTCTTGACTTACCCTTCTCTGATCGGTCAAATCGTCTCTCCTTATTCACCATACATCGACTTGCGTCATGTTCCAATAAATTGCAATTTTTGAGGTTTCGAATACTGTGATTGAGAAATGCCCTTTCAACATGCAGTTGAAACATTTTATACTTTGCAAATCCGGTTTGTCACGTAATGACAAAATATTTCGCAAGTCGGTCCTGGGAAATCTTTTGTTCAAATAATCTGCTTCTTTTCATGAAAATCGATTCGTACAGCTGAAAAGTATTTCTCAAAAAGAGCCTCCGGGGTCCCGTAGCGATCAGCCCTTGCAGCATTTTGAATGGTTGTTGCGGAAATCCACAACAGGTTTAATTTTTATTATTTATAATTTAATATAATTTTGTTCTCTATTATTTACCATAAAAATAATATTCTAAAAATAGATGCTATAGCTGGACTATTTATCCTGTCAAACCGGCAACAACAATCCTTTGAACCAATAAAATTATAGGTTTCTTCATTACCTTATAAGGCAGTGGACCTGTGATTGGTCAGCCGCCACATTGTTTTCTAGATTTTTGCGACCTGCTCTCCTGGCAGAGTCTAGTCAACGCACATTCTTCAGTACTATTAGAACAAGCGAAGAGTTCGCACCCCCTCGCGCCCTCTGAATGCTCTCCAGGAGCAAAACCCCCCAAAACCCCCGTTGATACGCGCGATTTATAGTAAAATACTACTCTCTGTGTTTCAAGGCCTGAAATAGTCTATATTATTGATAACAATTCATGTAATTAACTCCTAATTATTGCAAGTCACCTCGGACGAGCAAAATTCTGTCCTATGCTTGTTTTTGGCTCTATTTCTCTCACTCTCGCCGGGCTCCAACGCACCTGTATATTATTGTGCTCTCTTTTCATCTCAGTGGAAAATTCCCTAGCTGCCAGTGTGAATAGTGGTGATAAATGGATAAATAATCGCCTTGTGGATTTATCTGCATGAACCGGATTAAGCAAGTAAGACCGTTACAATTTCTCTAACAGTCGAACAATAAATACTGATTAGTGATTCGCTTGAAATGCACACTCTTGAAATTAACATTTGTACATTTGTATATAGAAACTGAGCATATATAGCGACTTTTCTTACACATATGGTTTACAGACTTCCACAGAGAAGTGCTCAAATTGTTAACTCTCAATAAATAAAAGAACTTTCAAGGATCAATAAACATTTTGTGATTACAGTGAACTGATTGAAGTTGACGAATTATTTATGTTGTGCTCTCGTGCATTTAATTAGTTAATTTGTGTCTCGTTCATTGAACATTGAACCATAAATGATATTATTATCATTATCAGATTTCCCTACTTTTTATAAATCAAGATACTTTACTTTAGAAAATGTACTTTAGATTAGTATACAATTTGTAGTTCGACTGGACGTCCAATTAGGAATTTTTAGATAGGATTTGATTGATAAGGCTTAAATGATCCAACACCTAATGGTTAATTTTTACAGTCAGTCAAAGTAAAAACATTTGGAATCCCTGGTGCGGTTTGACTAAACCCCAAAAAGGGGCAATAGCTAGTTCCGTCACAATGGTGCTATCTCGAATTCCATCTATGACACATGAGGCCGCATTTTTGTTGGATATTTGGCATAAACGAATGAGTTCCATTTTTTGAAAATAATAAGTGGACATTGGTTCATCCATTAATTTTTGACGGTTCAGCATTTTTCACAAAGCAAAATTATTATAGTCCGGACATGTCTTGATAATTGAATTTTCCATTCAAACCAGGTATAATTTAAGAGATTTAAATTATTGTACCAGGTTCTCGCCATACCTCCTAAACGAGCCTGCATATGATATAGGTATTGTACTGATATCGTCCCATTGATCAAATGATTTGGTGAATTTTTTCTATTCATCTTACTGCCGACATGTTTTCATCTTCTGGGCAGAACTCTGAAATACACTCAGTTCGTATTGCTAGTTTATGAGCGATTGCCCGTTGGACGTTGATATTTCGAGTCTTTTAATCCGCTCCTCGTACACAGAATTTTCAAAATCCATTGTAACAGGCACAGAACTGGAGGTACTACTACATCCTCTTGTCTAGAAGAAGCCACCAACATTTGATATTGACTTTTATCCGCTTCCCTATGACACGACGTGCGTAACTGCCGCATCCTGGGGTCTGGATTGACAGGGCAAAGTTTTCTGTTCTTGTTTTCTCTCGTAGAGTGACATCAGCTCTTTTTGATGGCGAAGTGTGACTACGTTCAAAAGCGTTTTGCGCTATCTTGATCTCGATCTAGTTGAATCGGAACTAGAACTGATGGAAATATCTCGTCGCTTCTACCTTTTGCCCATTTTGGAAACCTATAGTCACACACTTGAAGTTAATGTCACATTAATACTACAAAAAGTCACTAATTCGCACGAAACTAATTATAACGACTAACGAGAGGTTTAAATACAAATATTCAGTGTCTGAAATTAGAACAATAGAACAGAACCGCGAAACGCAAAATACAACATAAAAATTAGGAAGCGTAATGGGTCTACCCCACACCTGAACTGTAAGCGCGTAAATTCTTGATACCAGAAGGAATCAATGAAACAACGTAAGGACTGCACACAAAGAATCAATCCCCAAATATGACATTCTACATTAAAATTGACATTTTTCCTGATTAGGTATAGGTAGGTCACAGTCACGAGTCAGGTAGTTGGTCCATGAGCCCAACCTGTGGTAACTTACACTGCATTGGGTGAAAAATAAAGAGCACTTAGCTGTTTTTTTTTCCGAGACCTTTTAGTTTGATGTCAAATTCAGGAACATCTTTCAACATCGTGTTAATTTTTCTTCTAAAACGAACTATTCTCCAAAGGCTGATTGATATCTTAGGCGACGAAAGACCCCTTTGTTGCTGGAAATCACTCTTCTTTGACACTATGAATCTCTTTCTTTACCCTAGTTTTTATATATTAACTAAGACAGTGATTATTTCGAAATTTGCTTGAAATGTGAAACTTCACCCAACTTCCATATTAGCATGTTTGATAAATCAACTTTGCTCTAATAAGTATCCCAGGAATTCTTGCGTGACGTAGTATACGGGTAGCTTTAAATCAAACACTAGTTTGTTCCCTTGGGGCAAATTTGATATCGATTTTGATTAACGGCTTTTGAGGGAGAAACAAGAACATAGAAATTAGATGAAATTCAATTTAAGTAAACAATTTCACAACAATTTCATGAAATAAAACCTTTACATTTAGGTAAATATATTGCCTCGAGCTACACGAATATATAACTTTATACAGAATTTATCAGGTTGTCGTTCAACTGACAAATCGGCAACTTTCCAAAAAGTTGCTTCTGGAATAAAGGTGTTCTGTGGCGATTTTATATTAGGAAGTAATAAAAATCGAACTAAATTTTATAGCGTATTACAAACTTTAGAACCGAATCCTCAGAATTCTAAAAAGTTTTATTGTTTTGGTAATAAAAATGTGTTTGATGCATCCAGACAAATCAAAGTTAGAGAAGTCTCAACCCAAATCCGTTTGTAAAATTGCTTATTTTGGAGAGTGCCACGTAATCCATATGAAAGCTAATGTTTTGAGTTTTCACTTCGAAGTTTTCATAATTATCAATAAATTGGAACTAAGCCACTAAGCTGTGGGGTGTTTAGATATGAAAACAAATTTGAAAGCAATTATTTCAATCACTGAGCTTTTCCCAGGAGATTGTTATAATAACACTGAGAGAAGTCAATTTTTGGTCTTCTTTGTTGATTTATCTCGCGGTTTTCTGGCTTTCGTAAAGGAAACACAATGGAGTAAGTTGAATCATTGCCCCTTTTATCTTATTGTTTTGATTCAATTTCTCTTGCACTTTTAGGATTTCATGGAAGTTACTTTAAAATGTTTAGATTATGCCAATTCAGTTGAATATCTCATTAAAAAAAAATATTTAAAAGCTTATACCTACTACTAGAAAAACTATGAAGGGTGAATGTTGGTCACATTTAATAAATTCTAAGAAAATTCTCTCTCTAATAAAAGAAGTCTTTATGATATTTCGCAAAATAAAAACCTTGCATTGGTAGCTCCTAAATCAATAAATCAAATTGCAAAATAACTCTCTCCGCCTCTGCTAATTCGCCCATCATTGACAAACCGTCCTGCGAAGAATCGCGTCTTCGCCGTTGACCCACTTTCTTCTTCAGAGACCATTTCTTCATTTCTTTCTTGTAACGTTGCCAAACCTAATAAAAACTTCAAATTTTACATGACTTGACTACTTTTATGATTATAATTTAGATGAATGTTTTCGCCTAAACTGACAACTGTGTGTATTTTCGCCTAAGCACTGGTGACTGACTGACCAGCCAGGTCTTCTTCAGTAGGTCGATCGGACCAGCTGTTTCTTTCTGCGTCGGTTCGGTCGCGTCTTTCGCAGGACCGCGATACCCAATCATCAATAATTATCATCATGCTTAAGTGCACCGAAGAGAAATCGAACCGTCGAAGACAATATTTGTGTTATTGCTTGTTGAACATATAGATTTTTAGAAGAAAAGTGATTTTTTTTTCTTTGATTATTCAATGGTCATTGATGTGAGATATGCAAAATGATACGTTGTTTTATTTTACTGGTAAGGATGTTTTGATTTATTTAAGAAAAATTTTCAAAAGAAACTGTCAACACGCATCTTAGGCCATAGGGAACTTATCCAATAAATGCAGATGAAACTTTTCAAGCTTAACTTTAGAATTTATTCTGCATTTCATATTTGGAAAATATTGCTATGTAGTTTAGAAGAGGCTTTGAAGTTCTCACAAAAATATTTAAACATAATTTTTGATTAATTAAACTCCTGAATAACAGTTATGGTTTTCTTTCGCAGGCTAAACCCAAAATTCAAAACGTGCATTTCAAACGAAATTATTCTCATTGTTCAAAGCCAAAGCTACGCCTTTGCATTTAATTTATGGATTCGGGGCGGCCGAAAAGCATTTTTTTTTAAGCCGGTGTTTTGTTAAGTAGGCAGTTAAAAAAAAACTCAGTAGTCGATTAGTAATTCCGTGTACGCAAACGAAAGTGACAGAGAAAAAGAGAAAGGCTGCTAAACCTAAAGAGGATTCAAATGTTTACCTACATCAAAAGGATTTTAAAATGATTGTCTTGTACTTTTTGTGCTATTGCTTGTTGGGTGCAAAAATATCCAGTTACTGAAAAAATTGAGTTGAAAGTTGAAACTTTTCAAAAGCTTGGATCCTTCTAAATTGGATAGTTTGAGCTAGTTTGGTTTTTCTCATTTAAAACCAATACATACCAAAATAATAAGTACTTCTAATGATGATAATTTTCCAGTCTATTGAAGCTCTCGTTATTCCTAAAACTGATACGATCTCCGAAAACATTTGTGGGAAAAAGTTAGCCCACGACTGGTACCGTTTTCCTCGAGGTAGGTACTATCGGTTCTGTAGGCCAGTGGGTTTGGTTTCGTTAAAGTTTATTGGATGATTTTCTATTGTTATTGCATGTCTTGAGGGTACAACTAAATTTACATTCTATGATGATTTATAGCGAATAAATTACATAAAGTCACTTCCTACGTAAAAATAAACAATACCTAATTTTGATAATTTATTTCTTGTATTATAAAAATCAGGCAAAAATGCTATTGAGTCTCACGACTCCAGCCAAAGTGTCTCCTACTGGAGCAGGGAAAATCTATGCCAAATACATGGATATAAATATTATTTAAGCTCAACGAACCAGTTTTACAGGAAACGCTTCTTTGGGCAAAACGCCAAACCTACCCCTATTCTTGGTGCTAAAATTTATTGAATACGCAAATTACCAGAAACGGTTTATTGCGTAATTTTCCCATTACTGAGTAGGTCATTAGACTAAACTAACAAAACTTTTAAATAATGTTATAACAAAACATATAATGTGTGTAAATTATTATTGCAAACAATGTGTGAAAAATTTTTCCTCAATTATCTACACCTGAACACTTTTCATATGAGACAATCAATAGACGCCGCCTATGACCATAATCATCGTCTTAAAAGTAAAATCGACAATCTCTTATTAAATTATAGCAGTTCTTGAGCCACCTGTTTCCCATCGGCTGCTTTGAAGCATCCAATAAGAAAATATTATACTCTGTCTTAGCAGTAAGTGTGCCAGTAGGTCATTTCGGCGTTTTTGTATGCACACTCTGCACTGTTGCTTTCACAAACTTAATCGTTTGATAAACATCGATTTCCTGTCACTCAAAAAAATTTATATTATATTGAAAGAAAACCCGTCTACAGTTTAGGCGAATCAAGTTTAGAATTTTTCTTACAATAAATCTGAGAATCTAGAAGTAGAAATAAAAGATATATCTACGTTTTCTTTTTGTTCCAAGCCTACCATTAAGTTACCTACTCAATAAAACTATTGGACCAAGTAACTTGGCAGCCAGCCTACTCATTTTGGATGTTAGGACCTATCCAACTTCCAAGAGTGTATACTTGATCCAAGTAGGTACACTTTGTACCGTAGTCAAGCTGGCTTTAAGAACAGCAAAAATTTAAAGTTTTTGAATCTGGAAATCTAGAAGTAAGAATGAATGATGATCGAAGCTAGTCCAAACTTATTAGGATTGAGTTATTCATGAAACTAAGAAAATCAAGACTCTGAGTTGCTAAGTATATCTTAGAAGTCTTGTGAAATACAATGACAATCATAGTAACGTACTTTCAGGTATGTCCTCGTAGGTACTTCTGGTACTGTTTCTTAACATTTTTCCCTTCATCTGATCTGAAGGAATATAATTTAGATAGTTAACTTAGAAGTACGGGAAAATTAAAAAGAAAACCTTCGTATTTAGAGGATTTTATTTAAAAAAAAAGGGAAAAATGTTAAGAAACAGTACCAGAAGTACCTACGAGGACATACCTGAAAGTACGTTACTATGATTGTCATTGTATTTCACAAGACTTCTAAGATATACTTAGCAACTCAAAGTCTTGATTTTCTTAGTTTCATGAATAACTCAGTCCTAATAAGTTTGGACTAGCTTCGATCATCATTCATTCTTACATTTAGATTTCCAGATTCAAAACAGTATTTGCAATATGTTTTTGACAGTCGATCATTTCTTCAGTATTTGTATTATCTGTTGTGACTTCTATTGAATTATTATCTGGTATATTTTCAATGGTGACTTCTTGATCTATACACTGATCTGAGCTTTGTTCTACAAATTAAACCCTTCTGTTAAAAAATATGATAGGATCGGAATAGTTTGATTTGGTTCTTTAGCATATCTTCTTTCAATTTGATTAGTATAACATCGTCTTAATGTATTGTGATTATTTGGATAAAACACTAGTATGTTGTACATCACATTGCCAATTGGTTCTATGATTTTTCCAGGAATCCAACGGAACTTGTTATTTATGTAAATCTTAGCATAAATTAAATCTTCTTCAAATTTGTTTGAAATTTCGGTTTATAACGTTCTACGTTCTACATCTTCCGATTCCCGATCTCCAACCATCTCTGTCAATCCAGGCATCCTCTTCTAAGCCTCTATCTGTCATTTCTTGGTCTACTCCACTTCTCCAGCTCCTTATTGGTCTGCCGCGTCTTCTTCTTCCTCCTGGCTTCCACTCAATAATTTGCTTGGGTATTCTTGCTTCTGCATTCTTTGTACATGTCCCAACCAAATCAGCTTTGTTTTTTGAACTCAATATTAACATACAAGGACTAGAACGCATTACGTTGACGGGTTAGTTTGCATATTTTTGGTTAGTTTTGCTATACAGTCTGGTTAATAATGGTTATAAGTGTACAGGTGTACTTGCAAAGCGCGCTAAATGCGCTCGTTTTTCTCTGAATTCAATAATGGCATATAAGGATTAGTACGCATTACGTGGACGGGTTAATTTGGGTTAGTTTGCATATTTTTGGTTAGTTTCGTTACAGTTCGTTTATTACTGGGTATAAGTGTACTGGTTAATAACAAGGCGCGCGAAGCGCGCTCGCTTTTCCTAATTCAGGGGGTCTCCTTCCCCCTAGCTTCCACTCAATAATTTGCTTGGGTATTCTTGCATCTGCATTCTTTATACATGTCCCAACCAAATCAGCTGTTTGTCCTTTATATCATCTACTATTGTGGGTTTTACGTCTATAAACTTCCTAATTCTCAGATTTGTTATCCTTTCCATTTCCTGACTTGCCTGGCGCTCTCCTCCAAAAGTTCATTTCAGTTGCTTCCAGCATTTTTGCGGTTCAGTTTTTTAGTGGCCAGACTTCTGAAATATATATGACTATGGTTTTGACTATGGTGTTGCATATTCTGGTTTTGTTAATATTCTGGTCCCACAGTACACCATTTAGTAGGGATATTGCCTTGCATCCTTGTATATTCCGAAAAACAACCCCTTCTTCATCTAGGAGTCCGTATTCGACATCCCCTGGCATCTCCTTCACTGATAATCCGCCTAAAAACCGGAGACAAGAACAGCCCGGCTATTGACGTTCAGAAGGGTCTCAACAAAACCCAAGATATGATCGACCTCCACAACCATGAAATTACCAGCATAGAAACCCATTCAATGAAAACACCGGCCCTAATACCAGTATTTGCTGAAGATGTGGAGAACTGGGAATTTCCGTACGGAATGCCGAGGTAGAGCCAAACTATTCTGTTCGGAATACAGAAAACAACGCGTTATGACCCGATATTGTTGCCCTCGTTTGGAAAACTAAGCCGGCGCTGTTCTGCTCCGTGGTCGGACCAGCACCGTAGTGAACAAACCTCGAATGCTACTGAGGCATACCATAACCTGACTGCCGTCCTCACATCCTGATAAACCTCTATGATACGCTATCGGCTCTTGTAGACAACTCTTATATTGGAGATCTCGCCGCCGATATTTTTCGAGCCCCGGAAGTGACACAGTCCGTCCATGCAAAGGTGGTTAACGGTGACGCAATAGATACAACGAAGGCGTACCGAATTCCGTTACACTTGGGAATTGGTCAGATTGAGCCAATGTCAAATGTAGAACTGACAAAAAGTGAGGACAAAAAGCCGCCTGAAAGAATTTTTGGATCAGGAGCTACCAAAATTTGAAGAAATCCAGGGGACTATACCAACGCTACTCCATTCAACTGCTCAACCCGGAACCAATCAAACAGAGATACCGTCCGCGAAATCCTAAAATGCAGGAAATAATTACCAATGAGGTAGAAAAAATGTCCGTGGAATAATTCACTAGTGGTTGGTGTCAATAAAAAGGACGGCAAGTATCGGTTATTTGTATCGACTTTTAGAAAATCAATGCCATTTCCAAAAAAGGTGCATACCCCTTGCGCTAAATCAATGCCATCATACTCTAGCACTTGTAATAAGAAGAAAAAACTGTAAAAAAGGAAATGTTACTGGTTGAGTGTCTGTTCTGCCATGCTTTTTGAGACTCGCCAATCTCTTTCTTAAAACTAAAGGAAAAGTAAGAACGGACATCACAGAAGAAACTGTACAGGAGAAGATTGAACAGTGAAAAGATTGAAACGCCAATTTATACGTAATGTATTTAGTTCTGGGCGGAGTTCCCGGAGAGGAAGTAAGAGAGACCTTTCATCCCTTGCATCAACGGGGATCAGCCGCCATATACAAGTTATCCGTGAAAAGACTGAATCAAGAAGGGATAGAAAAGAAATCAGTGTGTGGACGAACACACCTAGGAATGCAATTATCTCAATTAACCTTCATTTAACCGCTAATCTCAAAGAACCACCCGACTCTAACTCCTGACAGTTTGGATTAACTTTGTCGGACACGCTACATTTCCAGTATCGATCTCAAGCAGGGTTACTGGCAAAATGCTGACCGATTATAGTAAACCGATAACCTACTTTAAAGTGCCTGGCTTAGGCTTATTTCAGTTCCAAGTTGTGCCGTTTGGCCTCCATTCCGCACCGGCAACCTTCCAAAGACTAATGGAACGTATAATTGGACCCGAACTTGACCCTTATTGCTTGACGATAGTATAGTTCTAGGGGAAACCTTTACCAAACATCTCGATAACTTAAAGGAAGTATTCAACCGGCTCCTGAATGCCAACCTAAAGGCAACATGCCAGTTTTAAGGCTCGCGTAGCAAGGAAATACTATTGGCCTGGAATGTTTAGTGATATCGCTCGTTATGTCCGAAACTGCTTATCGTCTGAGTGTTTTAAGACCTCACAACAAGTCTCTCCCGGCAAGATGCAACATTTAAGAAACGATAAACCATGGGAAACCTTCAGTACCGACTTAGTTGGTCCGTTGCCCATTAACAAGACAATTTCATTAATCTGGATATTTTTCGAAGGAAGTAACAAATCAAGTTCAATCATTTCTTCTTCCTTATGTTCAGCCGGAGATTTTCCATCTGGAGAATTTGGATTTTGAGTAGACCTGTACACTCTTAAAATTATATTTATGTCTTGTAATTGCCTTACGACTTCCTCCTCGTTTAATTTTTGAAAGTGCTCTTTTGATAGTGCCAAGAAACTTTTCTGTCTGATCATTTGACTGTGGCCAATATGCTGCTGTATGAATATCTTCAATAACATTCTTCTGACAAAATTGTTTAAATGCTTCGCAAGTGAATTGACTGCCATTAGAACTGTCTCAACAATTCCAAATCGTGAATATACTTCTTCTAATTTTGATATTGTAAAGCTTGACGTGATTGTTTTAGTTTCAAAAACCTCATGCCACTTTGAATAGGCATCAACAATAAGTAAATAATAATAATCGTTGATTGGACCACCGGAATCTATATGAATTCTTTGTGTACTATGTAGTGATTTTTGAAGAGTATTTCGAAATTTCAATGGTATGTCTATTCTGTCTCCAAACATTAGACAAACTTTAACAGCGGATAATGAGTATTGTCTATAATAAAAATTAAGTGCATAATTTTCAATGTCCTTTTTGTTTGTTGGACAATCATTCTGTATATACTGAATAACTTTAGAATAAGTTTTGTTCTGTTGAGTTTCTTGATAAATCATCTTAGAAGTAATTGGCAAATTTTCTAAAACTTCATCAAATATATGATAAACTTCTGATTCGATGATGATCTGAGCAATCAAATATTCTTCATCGTTTAATTGTGTCTGACTAACTAATCTTGACAAAATATCTGCGTGACCAAAATCGCCAGTTTTCTATCTTGAAGTCATATGCTTAGAGAACTAATGCCCATGCATCTTTGAAGGCGATTTGCAGTATGAAATTCCTATCTTTGAACCGAAATAGCCAAAAGAGGTTTATGATCTTTTTGTAAAGTGAAATTTCGACAATTAAGCATTCTGTGAAACTTTGTGACAGCAAATATTAAAGCCAAGACCTCCTTCTCTATTTTGACTGTATCTCTTTTCTGTTTCAGTAAGAGTTCTAGATGCGTAGTTACCATATAGGTTTGATACTGCCATTTTTCAATCTGTGTAAAATATAGGCTCCTTCCTATCCAATGATATTTGCGTCGCCCGCTACAATGATTTCGGGAACTGGGTTGTAGTTGGTTAGACTTAGATCCGACTTCAAATTTTTTAAAATTTTTCAAACAATTCTTGACATTCTGTTGTCCAGGACAAGATTTAAATTTTGAAAATGTTCTTCCTCTGATTGGCCTGATACTAAAATGTCATCGTTATATGCCGAGGAACCACGGATAATATGGTATCCATAACTTGTTGAAAAATGACTGGCGCAACTTTTATACCAAATGGCATTCTATTGTATGATGAGTATTTATTGTTAAATATTTTCTTGATTCTTCACTGATTTCAATTTGAAGGAAAGTCAATGATACTAAAAATTGTAGCATTTTGTAGCTTTGAAAAAATTTCTTCGACTGTTGTAAGAGGGGTAATGATGTGGTAGAAGTGCTTCATTGAGACCAGTAGAGTAATCGCCATATAATCTGGCATCTGCGTTTTGTTTCTTTGTAACTACAATTGGAGCTGCCCATTCAGAATATTCAACTAATGATATCATATTTTTTTCTTGCAACTTTTGAAGTTTTTGGTCAACTTTATCCATGACTGAATAAGCTACTACTGGTCTTTTTGCCTTGAAAATAGGAACTGCATCTTCTTTTATATGAAGATTCTTTGGTTTTTTTACATTGACCTAATGTTTCTTGAAAAACTTTGGGAAACGCTAATTTAAATAATTCTGTATTGATTGAAAATTGTTTTGATTTAACACATTGCAGACTGAATTGAATGGTACATTCCATAAACCAAATATTGTGATCCAATCTATACCCAGTAAATTGAGATCAGGTATTGAAGTGATAAAACATTTACCTTGAAAACTATTTGGTTTGAAGCTAACACTCTGGTTTTCCCATTTTTGTCTCAGCTAGGTGGGACGCTTTACATAAATAATTTAATCTTACTTTTGACTTACAAAGCCAAATACAATTTTTTTCATTCAATCTTCATAGATACCTCTTTCTTTTAGCTCTACGCCTGTACCATTTTCGGTATAGGATACGACGCAGGCGGAAGCGACCGGGCGACCTGCGGACGCCCTTACAGAGCAGGACGTCGTTATCAACCCCCCTGCGACCTGAACCGTTACGGTTACTGTAGCCAAGCAGGACAATTGTATCCTTGGCGAGCTGTAAGACGATTTGTTAAAGACAACCAAGGACTGATGAAGAGGATGTACGGAGACCAGCGACATGGTCACGTGCTGAAATCTGAACTAGAAGATCCCGAAGAGTTTGATGAAGAGGATGATGGGAATAATAATTGGAAACCTACACAAGTGAGGTAAGTACATTATAATAATCAGGATTTTTTTCTGAATTAAATATCTGGGCTTAGGTTTGCCAGGTACCAACACCAAAATGACGACATAGATAATGAACTGGATGATTTCGATGATATTGACGATGAAGGGCCGCGGTATTTTAGAGGTAGCCTAACAAACGATGATGTTTTAAACACAAAATTCGTTATATCCGAACAGGAAGCTGCTATTGCTATCAAATTGGCTGAACTTAAGGCTTCAGCACATTTTAGGTAAGCTACTATTATTTCTATTATCAACAAATTAAATAAAGCATAATTTATAGACGGCCTGCTAGTCATAGATCCCAATACACCACTCAGAAATATCATTCGACACCAACAACAACGACAACCACAGAAAAAAGTAAAACAACCACAGAAACCAACGAAATAAATAACGAAGAAGCAGCTACCCAGAAATCTACCACTAAGGCTGCCACTGAAGCTTCTTCATTGGAAATGACTGAAGAAGCAGCTGTAATTGCTGTTTCAACAACTACAACTGAAGACACTTCTACTACTGAAACAACTACAACAACAGATAGGACAACCGAATGGTTATCCAAAAAAATCACTACAACAACGCCAATAATAACAACGGACAATTCAACAGATGATAGTGTAAAATTAAATAGTGAAGACATGGATCAGACAGTCGAATCCAGTGAAAACAGTGAAGTTTACAGTGAGCAATTGAAACAACTTGAGAATACTCCTGCAATGTTGTTCCAAGATATGGACTCTAATAATGGTAACAAGAAAAAAGAACCAATTAATTTCAATAAAATGAAAGGAGTGTAAGTGGATTTTAAAAACTTTCTATTTCTATTTTGCAATAAGTTGCATCTGTTTTGAAAGTGAAAGTTGATTATTTTGTAGGAACGCTTGTCCAGTCAAAGAAGAAGTTGTGGCTCCGTTCTGGGCGAATAACACCAGGGGTGAAGTGCTGGCCCTTCTCAATATGTACCCTTTCGAACAGTACGTTCACTGGGAAAAATGTACGTTTGAAAACAGGCAAATGTATTGTAGAGAGGGCTGTAGATGTGAGCAACAATACAGACTACACCGGTAAAGATTTCATCTGACTATTATTAACATTAACTACCTATATTACTTATTATGAATAAATCTTTACAAAAATCTAGATATTTTAGAATTTCTAGTCTTTAATTTGTATGTCTTCTTATTTGGTCAATATATTTTTAATTTTTTTTCAGATTGTTGGCTTATGATCCGAATAACGAGTGCAGAGGCATTTTTTCCGATTGGTTCCGATTTCCTTCATGTTGCGTCTGCAAATGTTACGATATTCCTCCAGAATTCCGAGTCACCTCGCGCAGTCCCAGATTCGAAAAATCAAATTTGGGTGAAGAAGAAGAATATAATAATAGTTCTTAAACGATTAAGTACAATATAAATTATTATTTATTTATATATATTTAGTCTTGTTTATATTTATTTACTTATTTATATTTAATTTATTTTGTTATTTAATTTGTTTTTTTTTTTTAGAAAGGCTCGTGTTTTACTTAGCGGCAAAAATTAGAAGTCAGTCAGATTCAATTTTTTTGGAAAATTGTTTGGTACTGAGCTCTGATTTTTGTACATTGGTTTGTAAATAAAATAACTCTGTTAATTACTTTTTTTTGTAACTTTTTTTATTTATTAGAGTTCATTGTTTGTAAAATTTGGGGCTTTTATACTCAGTGCGCACCCATTTTTTCTAGTCCACATAATTAAAAAATTATGATTTGTTTTAACTTTGTTTTGAACCTAATAATTATTATGTATTTATAATTGAGAATGCTTTGATCTTAATAAATTGAAACGAAACTAATCTGCTCCGAGTGTTTGGATTTTTTAATTTGAAACTTGAAGTAGTTGAAGAAAATAAGAGAGCGCCTTTCGCCTGGGGATTATGGTGGAGACCTTAGTGGAGACATAAGGATGTAGAGAGGTAGAAGCATAGAAGTCCGTCCACCAATGAAACGAATTTGTTTCATGCGCGTGTAACATTTTTATTACTTGAAACATGTTTCATGAAATAGATTGCGTAGCTCTACTAGTTCTACGAGTAGTAGCTCTAGTTCTGCGTCTAGTAGGTAATGATTGTGCTGGACGATATACAAGGAACAAACATAAACATAGAAAAAGCGTTTCTAACCAGAAAAATTACGTAAGTAAACGGCCCAGAAGTTCCCCAATGCCAAGTAGAGTAGTATATAAGCGCCCAACATGCTCAACCGAACAAGTTTTGGCAGAAGTTCAGAATACTGATGACATAGTGAAACAAAATTTGTCACATACTACACGGAATGATAGTTGGACACCTGCTCGTGAAGTAGACGTTACGCACAGCCGAAGTACATATCGGGTCTTCAAAAAAAAAACCAATCAAAGATTGCTATGGTTTTTTGAACGTAGGTCTTAGCAATATTTTTCTTTAATTTTGACAATGTCAGTCAATGAAATTTAATGTCAAAATGTCATGTCAAAAATCCTGACCAATAAACAAACAATAATGCGACGTACGTTTTCGTAACCAAAGCAATCTTTGATTGGTTTTTTTTTTTGAAGACCCGATATGTCAGGGTAGTAAATCAGAATAACTTGGATATAATCGAATGAGTTCCAGAGGTACACGTAACGGAGAACGGAGGGTTCGAATTTGGGCGTTGGCGCTACAAATGAACGTGACTCACGAGAACGCATAAAACAACTCGAAGATTTGGTCGACCAACTGTTGCAAAAAGAAGACAGATATCCTGTGCGGGTTTCGACTGCATCCCAGAGTTTTCTCCTGGAAAGCATTGCGAGAGTATCAAAAAATGCTTAGATAAAATTGATCAGCTCTCACAAATCAACAGATGGGACGAGAAAACAACTGTTTATCATATGCAGTCAAGATTAACAGGACTAGCCAAATCGTGGTACAATAACCTAGAAAACTACAGGTATTCTTGGGACGAATGGAAGCAGCTACTCATTGAGGCTTTTCCCGATCACTATGATTTTCCTTCGCCCATAAGAACGCTAATTCGTCGCACTAAACTACCAGATAAGAGCTGGGCGGAATATTATTTTGCAAAAATGCAGCTTCTCCGTCAGTGCAATATATCAGGGAAAAATGCGGTAGCTATGCTCATCGACGGCATCCACGACAACTCCATTCAATCAGGGGCAAAAGTTGGCAGATACTCGACACCCGAAGAGTTATATAGAGATTATCTGGCTTCGTTGACTGTTATGCCAGAACGGCCTAGGCAAGATTTTCCTAAAGGGCAGGAAAAACGACGAAGCGAACTACAGAAAGGGGCAAGTGTTACAACTGCAAACAATATGGGCATTTTCAAACGGAGTGCACCCAGCCCCGTACTGAGTGTACGATTTGCAAGAAATTGGGACACACAACGGAAAATTGCTTCAGCAAAAAATCGAAAAAAGCATTATTTTGTGACGCTCAAACGTATTCAGAGAACAGTGGTTATTACGTCACATGTTCCATTTATGGTCACGACACCCAGGAATTCGTAGACAAGGGTGAGAGAGTCCGACGCTCGTAGCTTGGGACTAAAATGGTCCGAAATTGACATTTGCCTTAACGAGGAGGTGGAACTACGTCTAAGGTCATGGGTACTACCAAGGTAACAATGAAAGTTGATCTATTTGAGGCAGAAGTACCAATTTTAATTGTTCCTGATAGCTTACAAAATATGCCAGTTCTGATTGGATGATCAATCTTAAATAAAAAAGATGCCGTCATGGTTATTCAAGATGGAAATGTTCGACTCTTGAACGCTGAAATGGCAGAGTTGCAGTTAGAGAGTTTACCACCAAAGAAAATAACATTACGAGCAAAAAAGGATGCTAGAATACCACCCAATCACATAGGCGTAGTGAGCTGTTCGACAAGCGATAACAGCTATGAGGGATATATTTTTGTGGATTTTCGACATTATTTTGAGCCCTTAAAGGAATCAGTCTTACCAAGGTGTGTCGTATCTTCTTCGGACGCAAGAATTCCTATTCTTAACACATCGGGCAACACCATTTGTTTTGAACGAAATAAAGTTATTGCCAGAGAAACGCCCTGTATTGGGGACGATATACAGGTAAGTGTTAACAAAGTAGATATCACAAAGCTATCAAAATTTACAATAAAAGACCTAAAAGGGAAAATCTTTCTGAGAACGAGAAAAATGAATTATTGTTATTATTAAATAAATATCGCGATTGTTTGGCCAAAAATATTCGTGAACTAGGTGATATCAAAAATGTAGAAATGTCCATTCATCTGACTGATGATAAGCCTATAATTTATCAACCCTATCGACTTTCGCTTCGCGAAAGAGAGAAGTCAGAAGGTACGTGACATGGTTAATGAATTGTTGTCTGCTGGTATCATTCAGGAATCATAAGCGCCTTATTCCAGTCCCATTATTCTTGTAAAAAAGAAAAACGGAGAAACGCGCATGTGCGTCGATTATCGCGTCTTAAATGCTAAAACCGTGAGAGACTGTTTTCCTTTATCACACGTCGACCATCATCTTGAAACATTGAAAGGATGTAAGTATTCTACCACGCTAGATATAGGAAGCGGCTATCATCAAATAAGAATAGCTGAGGATTCAGTACAGAAAACAGCATTCGTTACACCGGACGGGCAGTACGAGTATCTTCGGATGCCATTTGGATTAGTCAACGCACCAGCCATGTTCCAAAAAAGGACAATGAACCAGATTTTAGGCTCAATGATATACTCAATAGCCCTAGCGTACATGGAAGACATATTGGTTCCATCTCCGAGTTTCGAATCCGGATTAATAGTTTTGGCGGACGCACTTGAAAAATTCAGAAACGACGCCGGAGTTACATTACGTTTGGAAAAGTGTCATTTTTTTCAAAATCAGATTGCTATCTGGGTCACGAGATTAGTGCTAGTGGTATACGGCCGGGTACTAGAAAAATCAAGGCAGTCACACGATTAGTGCTAGTGGTATACGGCCGGGTACTACAAAAATCAAGGCAGTCAAATATTTTCCAGCTCCCAAAAGTGTGCACCAGGTCCGCCAATTTATCGGGCTATGCAGCTACTTCAGAAAATACATCAAAGACTTCGCTCAAGTTGCACGCCCGCTGACGTCATTAACAAAAAAAGATGTTACTTTTGAATGGGGAGAACCACAGGACAAAGCTTTCGACAAACTCAAACAGCTGTTAACAGAGAGACCGATGTTAGCTCTATATAATCCAAGATCAGACACTGAGCTGCACACCGATGCTTCAAAGTTTGGTCCTGGTGGAATTTTGTTGCAAAAACAAGATAATGGTAAACTGAAGCCGGTGATGTTTTACAGTCGACAGACTACAAAGGAAGAGCAGCGATACCATTCCTACGAGCTCGAAACCTTAGCAGTTGTAAACTCATTGCAAAGATTCCGGATATACTTGCTAGGACTTGAGAACAAAATATTATGGTGGCTCATAGCACAGGAGTTTAGTTTTACGCTTGAGTAAAGACCCGGGACTAAAATGGCTCACGTGGACGCACTGAGTCGTAACCCTGTTGATGAGTCCCAGGATACACAAGAAATCGATGTTCTCCAGGTCGATATATCCAATGAAGACTGGGTCTTTAGCTACACAATTAAAAGATGATAGTTGCATGAGCCTAATATAGAAGTTCTATCGAGAAAACCACAAGATTACGAAGAGCGGCAGATTCACAGAGAATATGAGATGAAAAATAAGAGATTATACAAGAAGACTCCAAATGAACTTAAGTGGTACGTACCTGAGGTTACTCGACGTGTAGTAACCATGTACCACCACGACAATATGGGACATTTTGCAATAGGAAGCAATATAGGAAATACCACTGGTTTCCTCGAATGAAAAAATACGTAGGCCGTTATAGAACCGATTGCTTACAATGTGCTTATAATAAAGCAGTGAGTGGAAGAAAAGAAGGTTTTCTGCATCTAATCCCGAAGGCAACTATTCCTATGGATACACATCACGTGGATCACTTAGGACCTTTCGTGAAGAGCACAAAAAGCAACACCTACCTAATTATGGCAATAGATGCGAGTACAAAATTTCTGTTTGCAAAATCAGTGAAAAGTACACAGACTAAATTGGTGACGAATTTCTTGGAAAACGTTTTCCAGACTTTTCAATGTACCGAGGCGAATTATATGCGACAGAGGTTCTTGCTTTACGAGCAAAATCTTTACGGCATTCGCTAAAAAGTTAGTAATAAAGTTGTCCTAAATGCTACAGCAATTCCACGTGCCAATGGACAAATAGAAAGGTACAACAGGACAATATTAGCAGCCATATCTTGAAGATGAGCGAAAATGGGACACCACGATAAGTTCTGTGGTTTTCAGTATAAATTCCTCGATGAATAATGCGACGGGAACAAGTCCCTACGAGCTTTTATTCGGGTAAAAGCCTAGGGGAATGCACGAATCATTCTTGAGTAGGGCGTGGGGCTGTATCGGAAGATAAAGTGGATGACGATATCCAAAGAACGAGACGTGAGTTCTCCGAGCTTGCATTTAAGGTTCATTCATTTAAAAAGTGTACTCGGTGCAGGCTCATTTGCGTTCGTTATTCACATTTCGGACACTCAGATACAGCGTTCAACTGCTCTGTTCGCTCGCTGGTCACGTGATTAAGCCTCCGCTCAGCACGCTCTGCTCTTTGAGCAAAATACCGAAAGCAAGGTATGAAACCATCCCTTAAAGTACAGCAGGGTTGCGTTTAGAAATAGCACTCTGGGTGTCAGAGTGACCCTGGAGTAACTCTAAGCCGTTCATAAATCAACAGGTGCTTACTCGGAGCGTTACGCTGGAATCGTTCAGAAATCGAGACTTGACGTGCCCAGAGTGCGCCCAAATTACCCCACTCAGGGATTGGGTTGAAAAACGCCTCGCGGTTTTTACCGGGTTTGACGTTGACATTTAGCGCAACACCCCAATTACGTTCAGAAAAGGCGCACCCAGAGTGCACTCCAAGTGATGACGTCAGAACACTCTGACGAACAACTTCTCTACCTTCACACTCCATTTCTAAACGCACTCCAGAGCCGCTTTCCAGTGCCTAAATTGTTAGAGTATCATGCTCCTGAAGTGTGACGCTCTTGAAATGTTCGACATAAGCAGCACTGGAACGCTCTCGTCTTAACCCCCACCATTTTGGATTTCAGGAGCATGAAACACTGACAAAAGGGTTGGTGCACGAGGGGGCAGGGGATAACAGAATTGAGTAGCTCAAGTGTACGACATAAGCACTGGAACGCGCAAAGCAATTGTGGAGCACTCCTGAGCTGCTCAGGAGTAACTCAAATGGGTCACTGGAAAGCACCTCAGCTGTATGCAATGTGTATTCACCATACAAATTTTTAAAGGTACCAGTTTTAAAAATCGCTTTTAAGTTAAAAGAGGATGTTTCATACAGTTGTAAATTGGTTAAAGTATAAATTTTAAACTAGCGAAGTAGCGAACTGCTATATAAACTTATTATTTTACACCGAGGGCGCATCAATAGAGGTGAAAAGAAAACACCTATTATGGTTTACGAAAACTTCAATTTTGTCAAAAGCAGCTGAATGTCATTTTCTTGTTTTTTAAAAATATTGTATATTTACCTACTTGTTTTCTACAAGAAAATACCATGTTAATCATATTCCCAATTGATAACCATTTACTATTTCTAATGATCCCTAATGTTCCTTACTACCTTGAAAGACAAACCTGTTATAACAACCAATAAAAATCCAATAAGAAAAAGGCAACAAATCAAATCGAAAATGTATGGTGGGGAAATTAATCACCCACCACAAGTTGAAAAGTGTGGGGGAGAACTCAAATGTCAATTAATTATTTTCAGTAGTTTGTTCGCCTTCGAGTTTCACGTCGCCGCCTCCGGCTTTCCACAAATTTCCAGTTTCTAAATTTAATGTGATCCGGTCCGTGAAAATTCCAAAAAAAAATGGGCGAAAGAGACGAGAGCAAAAGTTACAGCCACCGAATTTCCAAATTGATTTTCGCATTTGTGGAATGTTTTTTCCAGTTCCTGTTCGGACTGGTTTACGGGGGGGCCAAAGAGGCGATGCCTCCGATCAAGGATTTGTTACTTTTGGAATCGGCCAGCGCTATTGCTTTGAAAATCAGAACTAAAAAGGTATAGACTGATCTTTTTTTTTTGTATCAAGCGAATATAATGTGTCTGTAATTCAATATTAGCACTTGGTAAAGGTTTGAGGCTAATAGAGCCACCTCGAGAGCCACTATCAATCAAAATTGATATTGTTTTTTCTTTAAGTTAATTTGATGAATAATAGAAAATCTACTATACATCTAACAGTAAACTTAAAATAGCAAAATTGGCTATTCAGTTCCATCTGTTTTTGTGGTGGAAAATCACGAGGAAAATCATAAGTTTTATATAGTTCATTGCATTTTAAAGTGTCATCAAGTCATAAGTACTTAATCTATTGCAAAACAATTTTGCCTTGATTTGCAGTTTAATGCATATTGTATTGTATTGTATTACCGTTTTTATGATTTTGTATTGCTCAATATTTTGGTTGCGTGTATGCCGAGGTGTATGCATACAAATTTAAATGTGATTTCACTCAAAGTTCTAGTCTTGAACACTGTACATACAAACAATTATTTGGAGATTTACCAGTCTGTGTCATTATTTTTTTTCCAAAAATTTTAAGATGGTTTTCCTTTCTGCTCGCCTCTCTGCTTTGCATTTGAGTTCTATAATTATTTCCTGTCTTGACTCAATAATCTATAGCTCTGTTCCAACAGACATGAGCATGAGAAAAGTTCTACAGTTTATTTTTTCCTAAGATAGATTTCGACATTGTCAACTTTAAAACATAAACAATACCGCTTATTGGTCGCAAGATGCCATTTGCACGACATGCATTGTAAAACTGATGTCAACCTGCAGGGACACCTCATTTTGCGACCAATCAGATCCACGTGGTATTGTTTATGTTTCAGTTCAGTTCAGTTCAGTTCAGTTCACTTTATTTGATCTCTTTAAAATATAAAAATACATTTTGTACCCTTTCAGGTGTAGATCACGTCAATATAAAAAAAAATAGACAGACAAATTAAAAAAATAATAATAAATAAAATAAAATAATTAGACTGCAAGATTAAAACTAACATATGCACATACAAGCTTGTAACAATAAGCATCTAAAATATTATGCGACTTTTATGACGAAGACATAGGAAAAAAAAAAAAAAAAGTTTTAATGATAAAATAACCGAGAAAATAACATAAACACACATGAAGATATCCAAAAAATTGGTCAGAGCATTCTGTCTAGATCAGTTCAAGAAAATTGATTTATTTTTATCCTCGAAAAATTCGTTAACACTATAGTAGGCACGATTTTCCAGAAGCAACCTAATTTTTCCCGCAATTTTTCTGTTAGGCATTTGTCTCAGTGTGATAGGCAAAGAGTTCCATATTTTTATAATATTAAAAGTTATATTTTTTCGTAAATAACTAAATTGAGGTATATCTGTTCTTAGATTATCCTTTTTTCTTGTGTAATATTTGTGCTCGATTCTTTGGTTTTCAAATAGATCTGGATTTTTTATAACAAATTCAATACTCTCCTGAATATAGATATTGTAGACTGTCTGAATTTTATACTGAATAAAATTTGCTTTGCAGCTTTGTTTGCGATTTAGTTTTAAAATTGTTCTAAGACATCTCTTTTGCAGAACAAGTATTCTCTCGGCGTATGTAGAGTTACCCCAGAAAATGACACCATATCTTACACGTGATTGTACAAAGGCGTGATAGGAAGTCAGAGAAGCAGACAGACACACTGTGTCTCTAATAATTCTAAGTGCATAGCAATATTGACCTAATTTTGACGCAAGTTTGTCTATGTGAGATTCCCAGCACAATTTTTTGTCCAAGACAACACCCAAAAACATGACGCTGTCTTGAGCCCCTAGCTCCGTCCCTCCATAAATTACACATAATTTTTCTGTGTTTTTGGGTCTAAAGTGAATCAGTTGTGTTTTATTTATATTAAGTGTTAAGTTGTTTGATTCGAACCATTCTGTCAATCTATCTAAGTCGTGTATAATGCCTCTTTCTATCGCTTGTATATTTTGTTCATCATATAGAACAGTTTTGTCGTCAGCGAATAGTACTATGTTGTCGTTTTGTATAATATTTGTTATGTCATTGGTGTATAAAATATAGAGCAGAGGAGACAAAACAGCTCCCTGAGGGACGCCCCTGCTGATTAGTTCAAATTCTGATCTTACTTTTTGTCCATCTTTTCCTAGCTCCTCTGTGCATTGCCATCTGCCTTCTTGAAAGGATTCAATGAGACGCAGAGCCATGCCCGTTATGCCACATGCAGCCAGTTTTTTTAACATAGTTTCATGGTGGACACTGTCAAAAGCTTTGGTCAAGTCTAGGCATAGCGCTGCGGCTGTTTGTTTCCTGTTCAATGTGTCAATTATTTTTTTAATTGTTTGATAGATTGCCCTGATCGTTGATTTACCCTTTCGAAATCCGTTTTGCTGATCTGAAAGGATGTGCTCACTTTCCAAGAAATTTGTCATTTGTTGATGCATTATTTTTTCAAATATTTTGCTGATGTTGTTTAAAAGCGAAATTGGGCGATAGTTTTTCAGGTCATTTTTTTCACCTTTATTTTTATACAAAGGCTTGACAATTGCAAACTTTAAGGCAGATGGAAATTTACCCGTTTCAAAGCTGAGGTTTATTATATAGGCAAGAGGTTTTGAAATTATGTTTGAAGTCTGCTTTAGTAGACTCACTGGAATTTCATCAGTGCCAACTGATTTTTTGTTTTTTAGGTCTTTGATGATGTTTTCTACCTGTTCAGGGTTTATTGGCTTAAAGTCAAAGCTTTTTTTATTCAATAATAAGCAGCTACTGTTTTCAGGTTTGGAGTTGTGAGTTAAATTTTGACATGAGCTTAGGAAAAACGAATTAACTTTATTTAAAAATTCGGGGGTCTCTTTTTCTTGAAAGTTGTTGAAAATTGATTGATCTTTGTTTTTTTCGTTTGTGATTTTTTTTATGAGATTCCAGGTAGTTTTAGTTTTATTTTCTGAATTTTCAATTTGCATTTTGTTCGAGAGTTTTTTTGCTTTTTTAATTACATTCTTGAGTATTTTGGAGTATTCTTTATAAAAGCTTTTACTTGCAAGCCCTGATAGGTAGAGTTCATATATTGTTCTCTTGTTTTTAATGGATGTTTTTATGCCTGTAGTAATCCAGTTGTAACTGCTATTTGTTTTATTTTTCCTTGTTTTTTTTGGAAAAATTAGGTTGAGGTAGTAAGTGATTGTTGTGATGAATGAATTGTATGCGCCATCTACCTCTCTTTCCCGAAATACCCCCGCCCATGTACAATCTTGAATTGTCTCTTGATATTGAGTGAGTTTATTAATAGAAAATGTTCTGCCTGTAAAGTAAGACTCTTTAAGTTTACAAATGCTGCTTATATTTATTGATACTGTCTGAGCATGGTGATCACCTATTCCTGTTTTTATTACATAATTATTACAGAAATTTTGTGAATTCACAAAAATATTGTCAATGCACGATTTTTTGTTCTTATTTGGCCTAGTTATGTCAAAAATTGTTTGGTGAAAGTTATATGTTCCAAATAGATCGAGCATTTCGTTTCTGTTTCTTATTTCTTCTCTTGTTAAATAGTTATTCTGTGTTAAGAAATTGATGTTAAAATCGCCCGCCCAGACAATTTTGTAGTTTTTGAACCTTTCAGAAGCCTTTCTGACCAAAATTTCAAAGATCTGATAAAATATATTGTAGTTCCCCAAACACGATCTATATATGCAAAAAATTACTACTTTCCTAATCTTACTGATAATTGAGCAAATTTCCAAGTTGCCCTCAATGTTATAGTCTTCAAACATTTTCAGCTCTTCAAAATCTTCTAGTTCTTCTTTAACGTAGATACAGGTTCCTCCTCTTATACTGTGTATCCTGGTAAAGTGAGCAATCATGTTGTACCCTCGAATCTTCGTCAAATTAACCTCTTCCGGCTTCATCCAATGTTCAGACATGCATAAAACCTGTTGATAATTTTCCAGAGTTTTTAAATGTGCTTCCAGTTCTAGCGTCGAAGTTTTCAAACACTGTATATTTTGATGGAAAATACCCAGTATCTGGTCGCTCTTCTGCGGTCTACTTTTTGCAATAGCAAGCCTGGGTTGAGCATTCCATTGGTTGCCATCCTGTGTCATTATGTCTTGGGTACCAAAAAAAACAATTCCTCCTTGCAACTGGACTCGTTTTTTGAGTTTGTTGCATTTCAGGCATGCTTTGCTTTATTTTTCGGGGCGATTTTACTCTTATGTTTTGAATAACGTTGATACGTTTGTCTTGTTCCACCGGTGTCTGTTTATAGCTTGTATTTTGTCGTAGTTTCTGTAGGCGTAGCTCAAACTCTTTATTTTCATTCAATGCAGCTTTTCTTGGAGTGTCCTGGATCTTTGTGTTGCCTTCAGTGGTACATAGCTTTTCACAGACATGTTTAATTAGGTTGTTAAAGCATTGGTGTTCCCAACAGATAGTTGTAGTTATTGTTTGTGCTTTGACTATTTTTGGTGTTTCTATATAAGTGATGTTAGAATTTTTTGTTGCCTGTTTCAAAGTTGAAAATGCCAAAATCTATCTTGGAAGAAAATAGAGTGTAGAATGGTACCTAATTTCCAGTCCATCAATTCATTTGTCAAGTAGGATAAAGGCTCTCCCAAACCAACACGGAAAATTCGCAACACCTATGAATATTCGCACCGCAGACGATTCGCAACAAATTGTTTTCACTGCGGTAAATAGACAAATTCAAACTGGCGCAGTTTTCTCCGGTTTGGCTGCGATTTATCTGCGTTTTTATCGGCACGGAAACTCAGTTCGCAATCGAATGCGTTTTTGGTCCTGGTTTGCAGTAATTCCGCAACGTTATAAAGTGAAAACTAATTATTGAATTGGTTCGAAAGTAGGTAGTGGGTACCCTATACTGTATGACCATTCTCATGAAGACTATAAAAATGTGCGCAAAAAGGTTTGGACTAAACTAGGAGAAGAACTAGGCGAAAATGGTAATTTGAAACTTATTAGATTATTTATTC